ACGCACTGGCAATTTGAAGGTCGAATTGTACTGTATTGTTCTTGTAGAGGTTAGTATATAAACATTTTAAAGTACAGTATAAGTATCTGGACTTGTGTATTATGCAGGAATTGCAGAGCTCAGAGAGGTACATTAAATCTGTACCTCTCTGTACAGCTGTAAACAGTTTACAGTTTTAACATAAGCCAGCCTAGCCTGGATTCTAAATGAGTTGACAGACATCACATCGTAATAAGAATTGAACTTCAGGTTGCTTTTCCAATGTCTGTATTTTAATTCTGAAAGGAAGAGCAAGAACAAAGGAGTATGGCAAAGGCTCAAGCTCTTCACTGTCACATCTTTGTGTTGTGGTATTGTGGTTTTTATTTATATATTTTTTTTATCACTTGCCATTGTATAAATATTTAATGTTAGTTTTATGAACAGCTATTGTTAAAAGGTTTATGCTAGTATGAAATAAAGACGACGAGTTCAACAAATACTTGCAGAAATTCCATCCACCTTAATTTATATTCAAGATTTTGGCTAAATTTACTTGCAAACATTTGCTCATACAGTTCTGGTAAGCTTTGTTGTAGGTAACATTTTACTCCAAAGAGAGTTGAATTTGAGAAAAGGCTTGCAATAAAAAATATTATATGAAGCTCCTAAGCCTGCATAGTGTTGTTTGGACACCATTCTCAGCAGGTATCTATTGTTCCGAGCAGAAATAACTATAGTATTTGAAAAAATTGAGGCCATGTGATGGGATCGCGCCTGCATCCCAGGACTCTTATATTATAGATACATCACGTTCTTGTGATTTCATTGGGCTACAAAGTTTTTTTTTAAGTATTGTTTATATATATAATATGGATATGGTACTGTGTGTATACTGTATTTATATCTTTTCCATGTGATATTGCATGAGCACTTCAGCAAATTGACTTGAAACTCACACACACACCTGAGGGGGCCTGACAGCTAAGTAGACAGCGCCCAGGATTTGTAATCCGAGGGTCCAGGGATCGATCCCCGGTGATGGCGGAAACAAATGGGCAGAGTTTCTTTCTATGTACTTATAATGCAAGTACATAGAATACAAAAGTTGGAAACTTACCCTAAACTTACTAATCTAAGATGGAAAATTACTCATTTACAGGAGCTAAATGCCTGGCAAGTGGGCTATTTGTTTTGGTAGCAGCAGAGCATATAGCACAATAAACATAAAACATAAACACTAGTAGGTTTTGTACTTGAATTTAAATGTATGTAGTATACAATACTACACACTACATACTGTAAGACTGAAAAAGAATGATTTGTGAAACAGAAGAGACCAAAACTGAAATGACTGTTAAAAGAAGATACGATCCAAGTAATCTCCAGAACAACAATGGTTAAAAGGCATGAAATGGATAAAGAAGTTGATCAAACAAGAAGATAAACAATTTACCGTTTTTGATAATAATGATTCCCCAGCTGAATTGACATGCTGGGAGAAAAAAGTTGGATAAAAATTACACAAGAGAAAAAAAATAAACAAACCATTTACAAAAAACATCATGTTTAATGTTGATGTTTTCTCAATAAATGTCATGCGAGTATCACAAAATGGTTATGAAAATAAGGCAAAAAATACTCGCTAGCCAAGTAAACTCAGGCAAAGTAGAAATGGTACAGAGCACTCGACACCACAACCCAATTTCCAAGTGATTTCACACACAAATGGACTTTTGAGTTAACAGATATAAATTTATTTCTGCTTAGAAAAGAATGGGCCAAAATGAATCACAGCATTTGAGCTGCTAAAACAAATTTGGAAAAAATGTTTCTCAAATTAACAAAGTGAATATAGTGTCCTCTTTATAGAAGAAATCCTGAAAATATAGAAAATTCAAACCAGATGAACTTCCAGTCCTATGAGGAACATATATACAGCAGATAACTTAAGCGGCATGAATCCTAGCCACCCACTTCTCAAATGCAAGAAAAGAAAATTACGTGTCAACAAAGTTCATAAAATGAGTAACAAAATTCTTGTTAACAAAATCTATAAAACTAGATACATAAATACCCATAAACTTTGAAGCAGAAATGCAACTGAACAGAAACAAACTCTTGCTCAACTCGTCTGCATTATCCGGCTATAAAAGTTCAGGTGAAGGATGTGGTATTATACACAATAGATGTTAAAGCAGTTAATGAAATGTTTTTTCCCAGTTATCTCCCAAATATCTACAATGTGGTATTTAGTGGAAACAATTTTCCCCTGGACTGGAGAATAGTCATTATCATTCCAATTCAAAGACCAGAACAAATTGAACAGGAACTGACAGACTATAGTTCAATTGCCTGTAAGTTAAAATTAGACACGGGTAAATAAATAAATGATGTACGTTGTATTCCAGGGAACATCAGCTATTGGCCTAAAGGGATCTTGGTAAACCTAACAAGCTTTTTGTCCCTATCAGTGGGACACCATAATTTGCATACAGGAATATGAGTAGTACTGTACTACTGATGTACTAATATCCTTAACCTAGATACAGTCATACAAGAGGTACTTGAATCCAAACTATACAATTCGACCTAGAACGTGCATATAATTCGGCTTGACATTATAACATACTAAGATGTATTCCCTAGATATACAGGGTAATATACTGACTTTATTTTAAAAACTTATGCAACATTTCAAGTATAAGTAGGAGAGGCCTACTTTATGGCATAAATTCAACAGATGTATATAGGACATTGTATGTGGATGACATTTCTATGAGATATAGTAGTCTAAACTCCTCCATTTCATGCCTTTTGTTTGAATGTAACGGTATAAATGAACAAATCCACAAGGGCCGTGATGAGAGTTCGAATCTACGTATGGGATGTTCCCAGCTGCGCCTTAGTCACGCTATTGTAACTTGTGTGTGTATAACAGTATAAATTTTGTTGGTCAAAAACTTTAAGTCATGCTTTCAGAACATTTGATAGCTTTATTTCCAGTTTATAGTAATGTGTTGTGTGGCTTGGATATAATATAGCAAGGAACAAAATTTCTGACTTAGCCTAACTATAAAACTATTTGTGTAATCATGAAAGAATGGCTCATGAATATAAAAGGCAAAGTGCCTACCTACAATATTCTATTAACATGATTGTACCAGTCTATCATGTACTTGACATGGCAAATGTACTGCAGCTTGAGGTCATTTATAAGCACAGCAAAATGCCACAGACATGGAACCATGTAGAATCCCTCTTGCCAATGGACTGAGTGCACACTTTTACTTATATTTCACTACAGGAGGAAAATTGGCTTTGTTTTGCAAGGCATCTGTCTTCTCTTTTTAAAGTGAGCCCTTGTGTCCTAGACAGGAGATCCATACATCTGACAATAAGTGCACTGGTTTGATCTTCACCACAATGATTATAAGGCTCATTGCTGCACAGCCACACATTATTGAAACATTCCCTTTGCTTCCTCACTGGGAAAATTTACAGCAATGAGGTGGTCAGTACCACTGCAGCAGCATTTTATCTTGACAGCCCAGCAAACATTTGGCCTTCATTTGCTGCCAAGGATTTTCAATTGCAATGGCACTTTTCACATCTCATGTCCACAGAAGATAGAATTAGGCTCTTTGTCCATCAATGCCAAGAGCCTCATGCATCTTCTCTAGGTTAATGACACCGTCATTTAAATTGCCCAAAGCATACAGTTGAATTTATATACAAGTAATATCATCATTCCTCCTTATTCTGTATCTCCTTTACTGACAGAACAATAGATGTTAAACTGTTTGGCAGATAGTTTGGTGCAACTGATCTCTCCTGCTTCTTAAAAATCAGTTCCACATTCAGAACTTTTTCATACTTGTGGTGCTCTGTTTAACTTTATTGATTTATTAAATATGTAAGACAGGTTACCAAATATTTACATTCTTTTAGAATCTTGGCAAATACTGTGTGTGGTCTTATGGACTAGAATTTTTCAGTTTATTGAATACCTTCCTCTTTTGTAACAATTAATCAGGCCAACTTTTCCCATTCAGCACCTCCATAGATTTACAGGTAGATCAAATTCCTATTTACTAAAGACTGAGAAAAGTTCTTCAATTATTTATAATACCTCCCATTTATTTCATTATTAGTAACTTTACCTGTTAAATCGTTCATGGCCTAGCCGTCTCCCTAATATTGTATACAGTAATAAACAAGTTTAATGAAGTGAAAGGTAGGGAGGTGGATGATGATGATAGTTTAATAGATCTGTACGTCTTTACTGACATTGGAATACACAGATTGGAAAATTTAAGGTCGAAATTTCAATTTAGAAAAAAAATGTAATTGAAGGAATATTTTTCACTACTTAGCAAGACAGGCATGCTAGTGTAGCTAAAGAAAGTAAATAATGAAGAAGAAATGCAGGTAATTATTTATTCTTAAATTTACTGTATCTTTTCTTTTAAAGTATAAAATTTGATTACATGTGATTTTTAATCATAATATTTCTATTTGATAAGTTATTGGCATTTTTTTATGTTAATAAAAATGTTTGGCAGAAGACAAGGATAACATTGAATGTGTTACAGTGCCTTGTTATTTGCAATGGTTCATTGCAAGAAGCTTATTAGGACACTTTAGTGCATGGATTCCCACAAATAATCAGTTGGCTTTGTTTACAAGTGTAAGACAGTAAAATGTGTAGAAATCTTAATCTACAGATGTCTAATGTCTAGATTGAATCCTAGATGTCTCCAGAACCTCTCTCTATTGATCTTAGAAGTATATCCATATCCTAGATGTTTTGATTATAGATGTCTTTACATACCAGCTGTTGAATAAGTGAGTTCTACTTACTGTCTTCCAACAGTTCATTCAATGGTATATTGCCATTTGAGAAATGGTATATTTGCAATTTTAAATCTTCCTGGATCATAACCTCTGTTTTAAGGTATTTGCTTATCTATTCACTCCAACTTTATTACTTTTATCTCAAATATTATAACATTTTCCAGTTTGGTGCTGGTGGAGAATTGCATTGCCACATCTGTGGCCGAGTGAGTAGTCGACGTGACAACCTGGAGCGCCACATTCGGAGTCACCTAGGAGATAAGCCTTTTAAGTGTCCCTTCTGTTCCTTTCGTTCTCAACTAAAGTGGAATATGAAATCTCACATAGAACGAAGACATCCACAGCCTTGTATACCCCCATTACAATGACATCCTTTTAGCCAACAAATGCAGCAAATTCCACATAATATTTTTCAAAGCTCATTTAACTTATGAATCTTATTGTACTAAGAGTGGTATGTTAATAGCCTTTTCTGGGGAAGCCCCTTGTGGCTCCCCGATGCTACTATCACTGATAGTATACCAACTACTAGGTCACATCAGCTGCAGAGTACTATAGGCCTTCCAGGATCTGGCCCTGTCACAGAAGCGCAGGGAGCAGTGTGCTTTATTAATTTACTAATGGCATTATTGGGAAGCAACCAGAAAGTCAGTGAAACATAGCAGACCACTGCTGGATTGCATAAAGATCACAGCCTCTATAACCATTGAAGAGAATTCCCCAACTATGTAATGATTTAAATCTCTCCAAATTAGTGCAAACTCATTTGCTCTACCTCCCTAACTAGTCTGGGGAAGGAGGGAGGTAGCTAGTAATCAGCCGGCTACTCCACCTTTAGTTCTGTGTTGATGTTAGTGTGTGCTATGTTGTCTCTGCTGCTTGGTCTCTAGCGCCTTGCTGATTCAGGTAAGTGATGGTTTTTGCATTTGTTGGCATTCCTGTACATTGTGAAGTGTAGTACGAGTCAAAATATTGAGTGTTTGGAGCTGTATGTGCTCCCGGGAGCTGTATATGCTCCCGGGTGCTGCCTTTGTGCCTCAGGGTTCTCTTCCCTGGGGTGTTGGGGGGGTCACTTCCTTAGAGATCCTCCTTGCTTGTGTTGGTCCTCGCCCAGGGTGAGTCAGGTGTCTGAGTCCATCAATTACTGTCTGTCTGCTCTTTCTCGGGCTGCAGCTTGGGATTGTCTCGTGCAGCTCCGTGCCACGGTTTTCCTGCGATACTGGTGGCCTGTCAACATCTGGGTTCTGTTGTATGCTTGTTGAAACTCTCCCATTTCTGATTAAGAATACCTGGTAAGCCTTTCGGCTTCTGGAGGGGCCTGTTAGTTGTTAATGCTTGATTGGTTCGGCTGGGGCTGCATCATGCTCTGTGTCTGGAGGTGGCTATCCCCTGCTACTTTTATGCCACCGATTTTTCCTCGGTGGATGCCTTGTGGGTTGATCCTGTCCTTGTCCCACTGTTACAAAGTTTGTATTTTTCAATTTATCCATAGTGTTAATAAGTCAAGCCATCTTGCAGTCTACCCTTGCATCCATGATGTTAGGAAGTACCATACAGTATTCCACTCTCTCGGCAGTGTTTGCTAACTTGACCCAGGTTGATAGTTTTGGAGGTCAAGCAGGGTTCTGCCAGCCCGTTATCTTGTTAATGTGCCCAAGTCACAGTGCCCTTGTGTGGCTTTGAGTCGTGTGTCTCGTCCTTGTGTGTCTTCTTCATCCTGACTCCTGCAGTGCTTTTTCCTCCCTGGGGAGTGTCGTTTTGTTTTCCTTTTCCTAGGATAGTTAGCCTCGAGGAGCCAACAAACCAGCATTGAATGTAATGAAACACCAATTTCTGAGCGAGACCCTGTGGTTCCCCGACACCCTCTCTTCCTCCAGGTCATCAGAGGATTACATCTACCATAGAACTGAGGGTGGGGTAGCCGGCTGACTGCGAGCTACCGCACTCCTTTCCCCAAACGAATTGGGAAGGTGGGGGAACAAGCTTGCAGTAGTTTGGAGAAATTTCAATCAGTTTTGTTTATATAGTTGGGCAGCCCATCTTTCAGACAAAGACCCAAAAGTGATTCCATGCACCTGCCAAACCCCCTGTTTATTTATAAATGAAAAACAGTTTACACACGACTCAACTGATTTTGTTTGAACACTTCTGGAACAAGTGCTTCACTGACAAATTTTGTTCGAACCACAATGCTGTAAATGCTTCACCCACGTACTACAAAGACAAATAATCACCAACAGAACCTAACCTAACCTATGCTAATACAGTGGCACCTCGACATATGATTGCCCCTACTTACGATAATTTCGAGTTATGATGTAAATTTCATAAAAAAATGCGACTTGACATCCGATGGTGTTGTCGACTTCCGATATTTGTTGGTACACATTCGGGTCGACCGAGCGCGTGGTTCCCGGTCACGCAACCGACCTGCCTCAGTTTACTACAGCTGCCCGCTTAGTGATGATCGCGCCTATAAGAAATTCCACTTTTGTGGTGATTTTTTGCATTTTGAACATTAAAGTAATTATTATATATCACACCATGAGTCCCAGGAAAGTCAGTGGTAATGCTCAACATATGAGATCCCATGTAAGAATGACCATAGAGCAGAAACAAGAGATCATTCGTAAATATGAAGATGATGTGCGGGTAGGTGAACTGGCTAGGCAGTACAACAAATCTCAGTCAACGATATCCACCATACTGGCTAAGAAAAAGGACATTATGAGTGCTAAAGTGGCAAAAGGCGTATCAATAATCATGAAACATAGAACACAAACACTTGAGGATGTTGAACAGTTATTATTAATTTGGATATACAACAAGGAGTTAGCGGGTGATAGCGTTTCGGAGGCCATCATTTGTGAAAAGGCAAGAAAATTGCATGAAGACCTTTTAAAGAAAACACCTGGAACGAGTGATACAGAAGTGAAAGAGTTTAAGGCGAGCAGGGGATGGTTTGAGAAATTTAGAAAAAGAAGTGGAATTCATGGTGTTGTGAGGCATGGGGAGGCTGCCAGCTCAGACAAACCAGCGGCTGAAAGATTCATTGGCAAATTTAAAGATTTTGTGCAGAGTGAGGCATACCTACCACAACAAGTGTTTAATTGTGACGAGACAGGGCTATTCTGGAAAAGATTGCCAAAGAAAACATACATTACCAAGGAGGAGAAGTCATTGCCTGGGCACAAGCCTATGAAAGATCGGTTTACTCTTGTGTTGTGTGGTAATGCAAGTGGGGAAGAAGCAGCAGCTGAGGAAATTTCTTCAGGGGAGGATGTGCCAGCACAGAATGTCTCTTCCTCAAAAATTAAGAAAATGTGTGCAGCATGGGAAGAATTGCAAACCTTTGCTGAAACGACTCGCCCAAATCAAGCTGCAGTAGGTCGTTGCCTTAACCTATTCAATGACACTGTGATGCATCATTACAGAATAATGTTAAAATGAAGGGAAAAACAAATGTCTCTTGACAAATTTGTAGTGAAACAAACAAGCACTGAACCATAACCAGGTCCTAGTGGTATTCAGGCAAAACGTAGGAGAGAGAGTACCCCAGAGAAAACATCACTGCCTGATGTGATAATGGAAGGGGACTCCCCTTCCAAACAGTAACAACTCTCCTCCTCCCACCTCATCACCATCTTCCATACACCATCAAGAGTACTCCATAAAGGTAAGAGAAACTTTGGTACTGTATTGTAGCTAGAAAAAAACATTGTATTCTGTATAAAATGTATTTGTATGTTAATATTTTGGAGGGTGGGAACGAATTAATTCAAATCCCTTTATTTCTTATGGGAAAAATAGCTTCGACTTACGATCCGTCTCTGGGAACGGATTAGCATCGTAAGTTGAGTCCCCATTGTATATTATAATATTAATGTATATTTGAGAAAATTCCTATTTTGAATGAATAGCATGTACAAATTTATGAATGCGTCTGTGGGGTTGACCGCTGTATGTAATGGACTTAAGTTGAGGACGGGGTTGAGTTGGTGGAGTTCTTTTGGAAGTTTTAGAGGCTGCAGACTATACAAGCCAGCAATGGTCTGTTTTCTCTGACTTTCTGATTGCTTCCCTGGTGGTGGTATAAATAAATAAATGCCATCACTGACTGCACCTCTGTGGGGGGGGGGGGAACTATGTTCTGGTGCTGGACCCCAGTAGGCCCATAGAAGCTTATGGAATCCCCTGCTGGGGTCTGCATATGCTTCTATGGGCCTACTGGGCTGATTCCGCAGCTGATGTGACCTAGTCGTTGGTACACTATCTGTGATAGTAGCTTCAGGGAGACACTGAAGCTCACCCAGAAATTGGCATTTCATTACATTCAATGCTGGGCTTTTGCAATGGTACTTGTAAATTAAAAAAAAAAAAAAAAAAAAAAACTAATCGGTGATGACAAGTACAGGTATGTGTTTGAGCCTTCTTACAGTGCTATACAAAAATATTATTTCCAAAGTTATGTACTCTACATGCTTATACATTACTTAACTTTTTGTTTGCTTTTGGCACACAAAACCTTTTTATGTACTTTAAAAATCTTTATGGCATTTTACAAAAAAAATTAAATGTGTTTGATTATTTTTATGTAATCACATTTTTTATTTATTTTCAGTAGGAATGAAAGTTTTTCATTGAAGACACTGATTGCCATTTCCCACTGTTTGATTGAATAATAAGTCAATACCTGTAGTTATAAGGAGTTTTGTTTTCTAAAAATTGTGAGATATCTTGTATTAAATCTTGAAAATCAGTGTCATGTTCATAATTATACAGTATAATGATTTGTCATCCACACTTCCGTGGAAATAAACATTCCATTCACATGGGCTCTAGGAGACACGAACCACAGTCAATAGAGCGTTGGCCTCATGTGTGGGGTCTGCGATTCGAGTCTTTTAGATCCCAGGTGAACGGAATTATATAATGCTTTTGGTTTTTCTTTTATAAATTCAGCAGAAAAACTGTTAGAATGCCAATGTCAAATTCTTTGCAAGAGGTTCTCTGCTCTGGTCACACAGTTTTCAGGGAGATATTAATTTTATTTACAGTATTGATTGTAAGAAAATAACCTTAGACGAATTTACTTAACATTCCAGTGACTTGGATTACTGTCTGTTTACACAATACCTGACAATGAGTGGATGAAAGCTTCATAAATAATGATTTTTGCATCTTCAGTATGGATCAGTAATTTGCAAGGATAAACTTTAAAGTAACTCCACAGTGATGCAGGTCTGTGGTAGTTCAACAGAGTTCAGCATAGGATTAGCTCCTGGTTTAGACCAGTTCTTCCTATAGACAAAGAGAGATTAATGTGCATAATATTTTAAGACGACTTATTCCCATGATCAAAAATGTTCTTTTCATGGTGAAATTAGATTCTCTTTCTCAGTGATAAAGGTACCTCACAGTTGAGAAGGCCGGAGTTTCAAACAGATATACTGTATGTCGGTACTGTACTTAGCATTACCAGTTCGTTCCTCTCAGACTTGCACACATTAACCTACAACATTTATAACAATCTGAATATTTTACTGAAATTAATTTAATATCTACTATAGGCATACTGAACATGCATTATTGTTTCTTCCGGCCAAAGTGTTGTAGGCATATTGCAGACCGAGGCAGTGCTGATATGTAATAAGTCTTTTTATTTGTTGTGACTATGTGCACATGTCTTTTCACATGTGCAGATAATTAAATATGGAGACTAAGTCTGTACTAGGGTTTTAGAAAGTCATGAAAGGTTAGTGGTAAAGGTAACTTGATTTCTTAAATGATGAAATTTGACTGCTACTAATAAATTTAGCTATGCTACAATGTAATAAATATGTTGCTGTAGAGCTGAATCGCAGCCACAAGAACAGGCCTAAAATAAATAACAAAATTTCAAGATGTGGTGTGACTATAAATAAGTTTTAATGGGCAAGTATTGATTTACAGAAACAAAATGGAGATTATGATTCTGAGTATGCATAGTTATTTAAATATATTTGTTCAATCTGTGCAGCAGTCTCTCTCTAAACCAAATATCTCAAACTGATCTAGATTATAAAATGAATAATTTATGAACAACATAAAATTATTGTGTTTGGCTGCGAGTGGCCATGCCTCCAGTCTGCTTTTATTTATTCACCCCGAATGGTAACATACATAAAGCATTTATTTGTTACAGTACTTTGATAGGTTTATTATTAACCCTCGTAACAGCTTCTTGTAAGATATCACAATCCAGTGATTACTTTTGCAGTGCAAAGTGTTACAAACTGCATTATTTTTCACTTTGAGCAGGTACAGTATTGCTGTGTTGAAGAGAAGGCTCTTGTGAAGGCACAAGAAGAGTGACCCAATTGTCACTCTTCCGATGTCATAATTCATGTAATTGTCTTGGTTAGAAAATATAGAATTAATATTTTTAATATTTATATATTTAATTATACACAAATTTTGCAATAACAAATATATATTGGTTAAATAAAGCATGCTGTAAATTGTTACATTATGCTATGTAAAGCCAGAATTTGGGTTCAGGCAGCTCTCAGTTGAAAGGGAGATACATTCCAGAGACCTCCAAGTCCATTTTTTATACACACTTTTTTCGTGACAAAATGCATATATGTATTAACATTGTTATTTAATGTTTTCCTGTTGCCAGCTACAAATTTAGTTTAAGATAAAGTCCAAAAACTTGAAATGTTCAGTGATGCACAAGAATAACCCTCCAAAACTTTAAAACGAGAATTTAGAGCATGCAGTAGCCCAATTCGACTTGCGGAACTTCAAAATTTACCCATTCACTTCAAAACTTTATATAAAATGGCTTACCTGCATAACACTGGGTCCACATAATCCAGTACTGCTCAAGTTATAGGTCACCTGTACTGTGATGGTGTTGTATTATAGTATTAAGCCGGAATAATTGATAATATATATATTACCCAAGGCCAAGCAGATTTAAAATGTTCCATTGTATTAAATATTTACGTGGTATACAGCTTTTATAGCTTCCCAGTGGGCACAATATTTCAATGGGTTAATTCAACATTGACTCAATGTTGAATAATATTGATTTAATACTGATTCAACATTGAATTGAAGAATAATGTTGAATCAACGTTGAATTAACATTGAATCAATGAGAAAAATCAGTTCAGACCGGCAC